GAGGAGGTGGAAGGCGTGGGTGGTGTCACGGACATAGGTAGGGAGTTCCTGAACCAAGGGGGATAAAATGGAGTCCAGATAGTTGGAGATCAGTTCGTTGGGGCAGGAGCAGGTGGAGATAATGGGTCGACCAGGGCATTCAGGTTTGTGGATTTTGGGAAGGAGATAGAAGCGGGCGGTGCGGGGTTGGGGAACGATGAGGTTGGAGGCCGTGGGTGGGAGGTCACCTGAGGTGATGAGGTTGTGGATAGTTTGGGAGATGATGGTTTGGTGCTCAGAGGTGGGGTCATGATCAAGGGGGTGGTAGGAGGAGGTGTCGGAGAGTTGGCGTCTGGCCTCGGTGACATAGAGGTCAGTGCGCCATACTACAACTGCGCCTCCCTTGTCAGCAGGTTTTATGGTGAGGTTGGGATTGGAGCGGAGGGAGCGGAGGGCTGCATGTTCTGCGAGGGAGAGGTTGGAGTGGATGAGAGGGGTGGAGAGGTTGAGGCGATTGATGTCTCGACAGCAGTTGGAGATGAAGAGGTCGAGGGAGGGTAGGAGGCCTTGGGGTGGTGTCCAGAAGGAGGGGATGTGTTGGAAGCGGGAGAAGGGGTCAGTAGAGGGAGGGTTAGGTTCACGGTTGAAGTCGTAAGCATGGAGGCGGAGGCGGCGGAAAAACTGCTCTATGTCCAAACGTGAGCGGTATTCGTTGATCTGTGGGTAGAGGGGGACAAAAGTGAGCCCTTTTCTGAGGACTGACTGTTCGTCCTCAGTAAGGGGGAGGTCTGGGGGGATGGTGAAGACTCGGCAGGGCTGGGTGCTATTGTCCCCTCTGGAGCTGCTGGCTGTGGAGGCTGTGGGCGGAGCGACGTCGGCATCGGCTGTGGGCGGAGCTATGATGCTGCTTGGCCAGCTGTGTTCATCCAGCCCTGCACCTTGTTGTCTCTGAGACTATAATACTGGCTGACTTTTCAGTGCACTCGTGTGGGAATACTGCACAGGTGCTATTTCTTGGATAGCATGTTAAACTGGAGTCCTGTCCACCGGTTAAATTGGATTTAAAAAATCCCATAGGAACAATGTTCCCTTAAGGTGTGTGTGGCTCGATGGCCGTATAGCATCTCATAATTCCCACACGGATTGAGTGCAAGTCAGCCGGTTGAAGTTACTACACGTGCCTGACAGCACAAACCAAGTTAAAGTGCCCTCATGCTTAAAGAAATCGACCACGCACAATGCTCAATGCTTGGTGAGCAAGTTGCAAATTACAGGGGAGGAGTCAAGAACGTTTCCAAAACAGACTAATTTGTCATTTAACTTGTTGCTTATGAAATCTTGCTGTGTGCAAGTTAGCCACTGTACGTTATATATGATAACTATATTATAGCAGTGACATCGAGCTGGGGTTTCATTCTAGAAGTGGGTAACAGCAGTTGGGGAATTTCTGATAGTTGCCTCTCTGTCTTAGTGCTTGTGTAGGTGGCATTTTTGTTCCTGAGGAGGGGAGTGCAAGTCAAACAAAAAACATTGGGTGGCAACCAAAAGGGCTGCTGAGTATGAGAGGGGGCTTGTTCAAGAAGCCAGTCTATCAGTGCTCTTAGACTTCATCTCACTTGTAATAAAAGCAGCAAACCAGAAAACGGCCCTCAATTTCTCACCCCTCATACACACTCATCGCCCCACATACACCCACACTCATGCCACTTTCATGCCAACCATGCCATTGCACAAAAGCCGATGTGGATACAGTCTCCTCAACCAGTGTTCCTTTCTACCATCTGAAGAATCTTGGGATCTCCATAGCTGTCAGTTTTTTGTGTGCTGCAGCTAAAAGGGAGGTGGCAGCAGAGCGCCAGTGTCATTGGGTTAGTCACCTAGAACTCTTGGCATCATCAGTTTGAATCTCACCATGACTGATGGTGAACCTAGAATTCAGTAAAAATCTGGAATAAAATAATAGCTGAATGGCCACTATGTAACTGATGTTGATTGTCATAAAAACCTGTCTAGTTCACTGATGTCTTCTTGAAATGAAAATCTGCCGTCTTTACCTGGTACTGTGTACATACGACTGCAGACCCATAGCAACATGGCTGACTCTTAAACTGCCCTCTAGGCATTTGGAGATGGGCACTAAATCCTGGTTTAGCCAGTGATGCCCACCTCCCATGAACAATTTAAAAAAAAATGATTGTACCATTTGCCACCACATTGTCAGATGGGTTCTCGCCATATTTGCCACTATCATCCTTCTTCCTGAAAGGGATCAAGCAGGCCTGTTTGATCTATTTTGGTGGAGTAAAGTGACCTGGTATACTAACGAGAAGAAACTCTAGCAAGGTGTAATTTATTGCACGATAGCAATCGCGTATAGGTTACATTGGTACAACAGGCATTGTTATTGAGACTATGTGGAAGACTACAAGGTTAGATCTTAATCATTCAAGATCCAAAACTTTCACCCTTGTCAAGGTCCATCATCATATTGGGCAGTACTTAATGTACTCCTCAGCATTAACCTTTCAGCAAACCTTGTACAAAATTTGCTACAGTCAGAAACATCTTACTAAGGGATAATTACTTGGACAAATATTTAAAGGGGGCTTTCAAGAACAAGTTGAGAAATAATTGAGGGAAGCTGCTGACTCCATTTTCTCTCTGTCAAGTTGCTGTCACCTGTTTCCTACAGAAACAGCTATAAAATAAAAAGCAAAGATCTCAAGTTTTCAACAACTGCAATGTTCATTATGACTGACTGCATTCAAGAAAACAGCTAATCAGCATCAGCTTTAGGTTAAAACTTTGTTTCAAAGACAACCAAAGGGCTCTAAAATGTGCACTCTTTCATTTAACTGTGTGTGTGTGTGTGTGTGTGTGTGTGTGTGTGTGTGACTGTGTGTGTGTGTGTGTGTGTGTGTGTGTGTGTGTCTGTGGGTATGCGCGCAGCAACATCATGTCTCTGCCAGTTGATAAATTTGTTTTGTCATAGCTTCAAAAAATATTTGTTAATTGGTTTGTTATTAGCAAAAATAAATAACACCATTTTCAATTGGATAGCATGGTGGCTCAGTGGTTAGCACTGCTGTCTCACAGTGTCAGGGACCAGGGTTCAATTCCACCCTTGGGCCACTGACTCTGTGGAGTTTGCATGTTCTCCCAGTGTCAACCTGAGTTTCTTCCAGATGCTCCAGTTTCCTCCCCCAGTCCAAAGATATGCAGATTAGGTGGATTTGCCATACTAAATTGTCCATTGTGTCCGGGGATGTACAGGCTCGGTGAGTTCGCCAGGGGAAATATAAGGTGATAGGGGGTAGATCTAGGTGGGATGCTGTTTGGAGGGTCAGTGTAGACTTAATAGGCCAAATGGCCTGCTTCCACACTGTAGGGATCCTATGACTGGAGAGGTACAATCTAATGCAAAGAGAGTTAGAATCTTTGGTTGAAACAGATTCAACCCAGTTTACCGCTTCTCACCTGCTTGCAACTTTCTGTACAGTTTTTTTTAATTGAACTGCAGGGAGACAATGCTAATGTTCTAATTTCCAGAAGTATCACATAAATTACATGTTCCCCACTGATATATTAAGCATGTGCTGATCGGTAATTCCCAACTTGTTTAAAAATTCTTATCAAATTTGCAGAGTTCAGCAGCAATTAGTTCTTTTTAATAAATTTACTAATGTGCTAATTTTTAAATTTAGGTCTTTACGGAAAGCCAAGAACTACATGGATTTTTTCTATTAGTGCTGTTAGCTCTGTGTAATTGTGTTTCACATGTCAGAGGCGCAGTGCATGCAGCTGTCAATGGATTGTAAAACTGTTAAAAACATATTGGCCAAAATGTTCGACTTGCTACACCAACAGAAACAACATCTGTTATATTTGAGGTGATGCCATTATTCCTGGCATAAGCGCAAAACAACCCTGGTACCAGCATTACATTCTATCTCAGTTCTCATTGAATGCTGCCAGATTAGATTTGACTCTCAATGCAACAAAGTCAGATTTTTTTTCTTTCAAAGCTGAACTCCTCACAGAATCAGAGTATTTATTTTAGTTTGATAGCACAAATTGCCTGCAAAAAAAGACAAAATCTGAAAGTCTCTTTTATGTAGATACTTAAAAATTAATGAGATTGGGTAAGAATAGTCAACTAAACATGAAATGGAATAAAAGCAAAATACTGTGATTGCTGGAAATTTGAAATAAAAACAGAAAATGCTGGAGAAATTAAGATTTGGCAACACCTTTGGAGAGAGAAAAATGGGATTTATGTTTTGTTAGATATGGCACTTTATTGGCTGAATTCAAAACATTAACTTTTGTTTCTCTCTCCATGGTGGGTGTTATTCCACCTCCTAAGTTTCTTCAGCGCTTTTTTTTAATGAAACGGAATGATGGTTTTGCATATGTGATGTAATTTTTCAGAAAGCAATATTAGTATGAAAATATTACAGAATGTAGTGTACTAATCAAATAATGCAGTTTTCATTAAGAAGAAAGGAGACAATATATAATCTTGCACAAAGCAAGTAAATAAAATAAAACTGTCAGATATAGCACTTCTTTAACACAGAGGATTATATGAGAACATGCTTAATAATTTCCTGCATATCATATAAAATCATAGAACACACTAATGATGGGCAATAAAAAGGGAATACATTAATTCTGTTTGTGAAACTATGTCCCTTTACGTTTTTACATGCACGCTTTTGCGGCTGAAGCACTAATAGGACAATATTTTCTGAATACGGTATTGCTAGGTGATGAAATTTTTCTGCAGTTTTAGTGAATTAAAAATTATTACTGAGAAATTGCCTTTTAACATGAGTTATTTTGTTCTTTTCAGGGTTGTTTCCGGCTGTGTTAAATCTTGCCAGCATGGCTGATATTAGTGCCAATGCTACCTGTGGTCAAAATGGGTCTGAAATGTACTGCAAACTGGTGGAACATGTTCCTGGGCGACCATTTAGGAACCCACAGTGCAGAATCTGTGACTTAAATAGTAGAAATCCGAAGGGTATGTAACACATTCTTTATGGAGACGGACTTCAAGGATTGTTTATTTTTAAATTATTAGTGTCTGGGATTTTTCCTGTTGACTGTACTTATGGTATCCTCTGTCATTATTTGGAAGGGAGGGAGACACTGCTTGCCCTTTAACCTTTACATAGGGGTTTGATTTGAAATCAGAAGCAACTTCTTTCCTTCCTTCAGAACATTGAAACTGATAAACTTTAAAGACTTTGGATGTTTGAATGAACTGTAATTTCATGACTGTTATAGAATTCAAAATATAAAATTGATCTGTGTTACAAAACTGGATCTGCAAGTGGATTGCAGCTGTTTTGTTGCAGCTAGTATCATATGTATTATGATATTTTGGATCGCAGGATTTTCCTTATTATAATGGAAGCATTTAAGTTTTGATTTTATTTTATCTCAACAGCCCCTGGTTAAGCTTTAACTTGTCATCAAACCAATCATTTTCTCTTCAGTTCCTGAACATTCTCTCTCTGATGGTAACCAGTAAATGTAAATGTTATGATCAGTTTACCCCACTTTAGGCATAGTGATTCTATTTTTACCCTCAAAACATTTGAAATCCAACTCTGCGTATAGGCAGAGGGCAATCTTGCCAATTTATCAGAGTCCATGGTAACAACTCCCCAATGGATTGAACTGAGTTTTCTCCTTTCCAACAAATTGGGAACAACACTCATTGTAGATCCTCTGTGCAGCCTGAAATCACGGAATCCTCCTCCACCACCTCTCCTCCATTGTTCAGCTCAGTGACTCTGCTGTTGCTTGTTTCAGCACGTGGACTGCAGTGGTTCAAAAGGCAGCTCCCCACCAACTTGGTCGCATGTTGGGCGCAGGCCTGTCCTGCCACCCATTATAACATCGTGTCAGTGGAGTGAAGCTCTTATTTGGGCCTTAGCTGCACATTTCAGCATCTGACTTGAGCTACGGGCAGATGACCCATTCACCCACTGCTGATACACTGGTGTACTGCTGATGACGCAGTGCCCTCATTCATTAGTTCATCCACCAATTTCCTTGCCCTGAGGCAGCTGTCAAAATTGAGACAGGCATCAAAATCTACACTGCATTTCTTCTAAGGCCAATGTATCCTTCCTAAAGTTTGGTGCCCAGAGCTGCACCCCTGTATTACAGGGGAGTTCTATAACCAGGATGTTGCATAGCTGCAACATAACTTCAACGTCAGCTGGATGGAAATTCCAGAATTGCATTACTCTTTGACACATTTCCCACCAATTTTGAATGCTGTTCCAATTTCTTTTACAGAACGACATCAAATAACAAATGCAATTGATGGCACCAACAGATGGTGGCAAAGCCCCAGTATTCAAAATGGAATGGAGTACCATTATGTGACTATCACTCTGGACCTAAAACAGGTAAATAGAGTGATCACCAGTTTAATATTCAGATTGAAGAAACTGCGATGAGAGGTTTGGATCAATAACATAGAACCTAACTGATGGTTGGGCTGAATTTTTCCAGCTCCATTGAGATGGTATTGGAAGCGGAGATTTGCAGAGGGATAGAGATGGACAGGAAGCAGGATTGCCTACCTGCGTCCTGGAGCTGGGCATCCAATTGATATGATTAAGACCCGAATTAGAGATGGTTTTGTGACCGCTGAGGCATTTTGCTGGTCGTGGAAATGCCCCCTGCCTCACGTTGAGGCTGCCAGTTTAGTGTAAACTTCCTCACTGTTACAGACTGAAGGACCATCAGAGCCAAGCGTTCCTTATCCCAATGGTGAGTTAGCAAGCAGGAAAGGCAGCACCCGAGGCCTAAATGATTCTTCTGCAGGGGTTTCCTCCCTGCTCAGAATGGCCTACCAGCTTCAGCTCTCGCCACTTTTCAGCCAATTGTAGGCCCTGCAGCCCTTCCTATCTCAGGGCTTCCTCTGGAAGCAGTGGTCACTGCTGGGGCTACATCCAGCCCCAGACCTAGCCAGTGATGGAGGTCTGCAGTTCTGTTAATTGGGAAAGTTCTTCATGACCATTTAGGTAGGATTCAGTGAGGGGACGGGTGGGATGATGATAAGATGGCCAGGAATACTCTAGTTGCCTCCCCTGGTGTTATGGGGTCACCCCAGGCTCATGGTGAAATACTAGCAGAAATGGCTGTCAAACGTCCATTAAATGGTGAGTCAAGGGAGGCTGCCGAACACTGGTGACGTCGAGAATGTAGCAGCAGATATGTGTAAGCAACATGATTTTATGCCTCAGCCTTGTTTTGCAGCCTACCTTTGAGGTCACTGGGTAAATTTGTGTCTCTGACCATTGCTCTTGCATCAGGGTGATGACTTAGGGTCGTGGACCTCGGACACAGGGCTGGCAGGCGGGTTTGAAGTGAGCAATACCTAATATTTAAAAGGTGGCCTTACATCCTGCTTGTACATGACCTGTGTGAAATTGTACACAGGCCGGGGAGGCATTTTCTGGATCATCTGTCCTTGGGCCTCGGCTCTTAAGTGGTCAGTGACTGGTCTCTATAAGTCCTTACCCCATTACCTCTGGTAATTTACTCCCAGCGTGAGCAGGGTCATGACCAGTGGGAGGCCTAGCAATTTCAGCTGAGTTGTGGTGTGTTGGGCAAGAGGTAGAGAGCTCATTTGTACGTCCCCAGAGCCCACGGGAAGCTCCGCTCCAGAGTTATGCCCTGCTTTAATCCCCTCCCTTCTGCTTCTTGGACTTATTTCCCCTCTCCTCCCTCCTTCATGCGGTCTCCCTGCACCCAACTTACCTGGGGGCTCCTCTGTGTGGTGGGACTCCCTATTGCCCAGTTGCTTCCAGCAGGCTCTCCTGGATTGAAGTGCTGTTGGTCAATCCAACAGCTCTCCTCAGGCAGGAAGCAGCCAAAGTCTCCCCTTCATTAAGCAACTGCTGATTCCAGCATTCATTGCTGTGGGATATCTGATAGGATTATGGGTTGAATCAAAATTCTAACAGGGAGTTTGGCATCTTCATCCCGAAAATAATCCAGGCCATAACCTCTCTTAGTCTCTCCAAGGATGCTGGTAAGCTGGTTGGCTAGTTCCACTACTTTCTATTTTTATTTCTCTCTGAGGGTCTGTAACCTTGCTCCCATCCCAGACTGTCCTCTGGCGTCTTTGACTCTGCTTCAGATACAAAAATGCTGAGAGTTGTTCAACGATGATATGTTTCTGATTTACTCACAGCCATTAATAAATAGTTTACTTTGCAGTTTCAAAAGAGAAAAACACTTTCTTTGCACAAATTAATCATCCTCATGGGCTGCCCATTCTTAAAGTGAGACTTTTCATTATTTTTAAAGTAGAACATCAGAAATATGCTTTTTTTTTCAAATATATTCCATATACTAAAGGTCAGAAATTTCTAAATGGCACAATTCATTTCCAACACAGTTAATTTAAATATAAAGAAGTAGACAGTAATGTCTATTCTTTGGGGCTTTAATTTATTTTGGAGTGAGATTGGTCCTGACTCTTGAGTTATGTCATTATTTGTGTAAATTTGTACCTGAACCCACGACTGCTTGATGTGTATGTGGTAGCTTATTGTGTCCATCGACACTCTCGTGGAAACAGTGGTTAGGGAGAGAGAAAATGAGATGAAACCATAGCTTAGAAGAAAATTACAAAATTTGATGAATGGAAACAGTAATTTGATTTGATATGATTTATTTATTATCACGTGTAATTTGTTACAAAATACAGTGAAAAGTTTCGGAGAGTGTCGTCACTCTCCAGCGCCATCTTAAAACACGGAAAAATAAACCAAAACATTGAATGAAAAGGCAGAAAATGAAGAAATAAAGAAAAAGTGTTTAACTTTACAGTTTTTCTTAAGTGCCCCGCCTTGGGCCATGGGCCTGGTGGCCAGGCATGAGTTCCATCTGCCACTGGAATGAAAGTTGCCTCTCTTAGGCATCATCTCACCTCCACTGATGCCCTCGCCACTGCGAGTCCTCGATGGATCTTGCCAATACAGACATAACCGATGCTGCTGGTGGTCCAAACCCCACTCTGCCGCCGCCATGAGTCCACTGGGCCCACCTCGCCCACGCAGCCGCTGCTGATGCTGCCGTGTCTTGTACTGGGCCCAAACTCGTCTCCGCTGCCGACTCAATTAATCTGCGCTGGACGCAGAAGCCGCTGGGAACCGAAACTCTTTCGAGAGTCGCCACAAGCCCACGCTGCTGGGCCTACTCAAATCTACACTGGGCTCACTCACCGCCACCGATGCTGTCGCCACAACTGAGCTCTTCAACAAGACCAAAGTAAAATATAGAAAAAAAAATGAAAAGGAAACACAGAAAAGAAACAAAAAGGAGAGAAAAGCAGATGGAGTGGATGAGCCCTGGGCTCAGAAGTACTACTCCACCACCATGTTACAGGAAGAAACAGTGAGTGAAAGAGATGAACATATTAAATGACAAGAAATAGTTGTTTGTGAGTAGGACTTATGGCACAATGGACCAGGAGTTCTGGGTTCCAGTTCCACTTCAGGACTTAGAGATCACAGAAGGTGTGTGAGTACTTTGCCAAGCATAATTATGGAGCAATCCAATGGAAGACGATAGTCATCAATGCCCTCTTAAAGCGTGGAACCTGAAGGGTTGCAGTATTGATTGAGCTCATGAGCAGAAGTGAAAAGATTTCTAGATTGTTACTTGCTGAAGATAACGGAGGAATAGATTGGAAGATAAGGAGGAGGTCACCCAACATGCCTGGTAAATGTTATCTCGGCAGCTCTTGACCAGGGATATGTTTGATGATTTTATTCAGACGAGTACGATCAGTCATTCTGATTCTCCTTCAGTTGCTATGTAAAAGAAAAATATCCATTTATTAGTTCAAAAACAGGAAAACGCCTGTGCTTTAGTATACGACTGTTTATTCCTAATCGTCCAAAGTTATGGGCTATAAGTGGCATTTATCAGCAAGAAAGCTTGAGACTTCCTTGAAAAATTGATGTGCTGCATTCTATGCAGTTAATCTAGAGATTTTTAATCTAATATGGACACATAACATGATCTAAATAAATAAAGGTCAAAACTTATATTTTATAATTTCTCATCGAAACACCCAACTGCTTTATTTCTTTGCCTCCCTTCTTGTGAAGGTAGTGATTCATTGTGGGGTCCATGCTTACTGCAGCTCCTGACACTTTGCCCAAGGGCCATTTTTCAAACCTGAATTTTTGCTGTGAGTGCTTCTGTTTAGGTGCTTGCTGAGCATAAAAGTTAACATGCTTAAAAATAATTGAAGTATCAATTAAATTAGAAAGGACTGAAAAGCTGGCAACACCTGCTTTGCTGCTGAGCTATTACACAAATTATGGCCAAGAATTTCCTCAGAGACTATACAACTTTGATGCCATAACTTAGTTGGTAAACTGGGATTCTAACTCACATCTGGCAGTGATTTCATGGACTGGAAATGGCTTTCTCGAAATTCTCACCCATTAACATGAGCAGTATGAATAAAAGTTGAATTTCATATACGTGCTCATCATAAAGCTTTTTTCTTTGTTTCCTTTGTTTAACTCTTTTGAAAATGCTATCGCATTTTGGATTTGAAGACCAACAATGCTGTGGTAACATGTTCAAGTTTCCATTCCTTATGAATGACCTCAGTTCTGGACACAGATTCCTAATTGATTATTTGAGTTGAACCCAATCCTGGTTTCATTTGGAGACTGTGCTATATTAAGATGGTTGGCTGGATTTTACAGGGCACTGAGTTCCCCGTGACCCTGCTGAAGGTTGGTCAGGAACTCACCCACAAAACAGCTGGCTTCCCTACATCCATTTCCCTTCCAGTCGGGTGTTAATTCACCCAGGGTTACACTTGTCCCCATCAATCAGATTGGCTGGAAGCTCTTTAGTTCCAGCAGGCCCAGGTTTGAGTGATGGCCCCTGCTGAAATTACAAGCAGTAAGAGGAAGAAAAGGAGATGGGGTTGAAGGTATGTCTGCTGTAACAGTGAGTTCTGGATGGCTGACCCCAGAGGCAGGGTTTAAGATGCCAGTCAGGCAGGTTAAAGGAGAATATGACCTTTTGGGATGTGACAGAGGAATGCCTTAAAATGAGTCAGCAGGGATTGTTACATTTTGTTGGAACTGGGTCACTGGAAAGCAATCAGTAGCAGGAACTTGAACATTTTTCTCTCCTTTGCTTCTAGACATCTTGAGGTCGTCTTAATTGATATTGACTGCAAAGACTATAACCATAATCTTCAAAATCAGTTTGAACTTATTCAGTACATTTACTGATCAAATTTGAATGAATTTTGCAAAATAAAATTATTGTCCTTTTTTATTAACTTCTGTTCGTGAAACATAACAAATTGTTTGGGGTGTTAGCATTTTGGATTTCATTTTCAATTAAGTATGATTCT